ACGGCGGTGGGTCGGTCGTAGCTTGCCGAGGCTTGATTCGCGGCCGTAGACCGCCCGCTGTTCCCTCGGCGGCGATGCCCGCAGCCTGGCAGAACTCGACCAGGAGTGGTTTGCTCAGCTTGCTGTAGCATGCCACCAACTGAGACCTCTCGCCCCCCCTCCTAAAGTTTGTCTCATCTGCAATTCCCGCTGCCGCGTTCGTCTCGCTGCCCGAGGTCTCGACGCCCGCCGGCGAGAGCAGCTCGATCTGCTCCTCCTTGCCCATGTTGGCGAGGCACTTTTCCTGCGGTAGCTGCGCCGTCATCCTCGAGAAGATGTGCTTCTGGTAGCCCGAACTCACCATCGCCCCCCTCGTCGGTGTCACGGGGGCTCCGGCGACATTGAGAATCATGGCGAACCGCCGCGATGCCAAGCGCAGGCCCGGCTTTTGCGCAAGACGCGCAAGCATATGCGGCAGCCGCCGGGTCGTGATATGAAGGTGAAAATCGAAAGCTTTCGGGATAAACTCGTGAACCAATGGCTACTAGGCTGTTAATGTTTCTTACGTTCGGGTCCTCTTGGCGTCTCTTCGGGCTTGCTGGGCCCGCGGGCTCGCGATTCTTGGATTTTCCCAGAATGTTGGCCCACATTCTCGATTCTCGATTCTTGGCGCCCAAGATGTTCCCCAAATTTTGGTCCACATGCGGTTTGCCGCGGGGTCCTTTGAGACGAGATTGACCTACGCGATGTTGATGTTCGGGTCCGTTGGGGCGAAATTGAGTTACATCGTGTTTTTATTCGGGCCCGTTAGAACGAACTTGACTTACGCGAGGCTTACATTCGGGTCCATTAGGGCGAAGTTCTCTTACATGATCTTCATCTTCGGTCCGTGCTCGTGCTCCGAGTCCGTCGCGATCCCCAACCCCAGGATGTCCCCCGGCTGGTCCCTGGGCCCTCTCGCCCAAAGCCTCGTACTCGCCTTCAGTGTCGCAGGCGATCGGACTCGGAGTCGCGAGCAAAATACTGGATCGCGGAATCCGGCTGAGGCCCCTCGAGGTGGAATTGGATCTCTGGAGATTTTTCGTCCAGCGCTGCGTTCGGCGGCACCCTCCATCCACCCTGCGGAAACTGAAGCAGATTGAGCAGCGGATGGTGCGAGTCAGCTTTTGTGACCTGGGCCTGCGCCGTGCCCATCTCTCCAGGAAAGGAAAAGGTATTGGCGCGAGGATCGTCGACTATGCCGATCCGTTTCGCCGCCGGTCTCGACGACAACAGTGGCAGATCTCCCGCCGCAACACTGACGCGCAATATTCCGCATCGGCGATGTCCGAAACAGATGGGAACCAGAGCCGCAAACATGCCCCAGACCGGGTCACCCGCTCCAAAAAGGAGTCGCTCCTGTTTCCAAAGCCAGCCGGTATCGCACACCTCGCGTGCAACGACGTAAGAGAGCAGCCCACATCTTCAACGCAGCGTAGCCCATCACGCATCTATCGCAGCTACTTCCGCAAATTGCTAAACCAATTCTCCGACACATCCTCTCAAAAAGAAACGAACGCACATGCAGGAAACAATTCGAATCCGCCGCTGCCGTTGGGCTTGGTAGTTCTGGTCGGTGCTGCCCGTGCAGAGCGCCGCGCGCTGTGTCCCCGTCGCAATGGCCAAAACTGCATGTGGCTCCGCCTCCACCGCCGGACCGTCATGAATAGCAAGCGTCGGCCGGCGAGTGTGCTGCGAACTGCTTCCACGAGACTTCGGGCACTCTGGACATCTTTTCTGGTGGCCTTTCTGGTCGCATGCCTTGCAGACAGAATTCTTTTCGAGTTCGTCAATTTCCTTCTGTCTGGCAGGGTCTCGTCGATGTTGGGTATGTGGCTTCGGCGGCGGCGGGAGGATTCTCTGGTTTCTGAAATCTTTCATTTTGAACTTGGCAGAAGTGAACTCAGCCTTGGCAGAAGTGAACTCAGCATTGGTGAATCGCCAATTGCTTTCTTTCCAGCATGCGACGTAGGCCTCGGCCATGGCTTCCGCCACGGTTCCGTCCTCAGGGTCGCCCTCGGCCTCGTCGCCCTTGAAGGCCTCGAGGCCGGGAAGGTCGGCGGGGCCTCCCCCGTTCGCCGAGAATGACTCCACGGCCTTATACTCGTCGTCATCAAGCTCGCGCAAGTAGCTCTGTACGTTGTCCAGGGCTGGTCGTTCCAGTTGCTCATCCCCCAGTTACGCATGTAGTGCACGCTGCCGTGGGGATCGGCAGGTTGCCCCGCGGCTCGTGATGATTCCCTCTCGGCGGATGGGGAGCCTCCTCGTGGCCGTCCTGCTCGTCGTAATTATCATCGGCGTGGGGCTGCTCAGCGGCAACCCTTTCCCGTCGCCCGACGGGTCTCCACGTCCCGGCAGCCGTGGCGGCCGCAACAAGCGAAGTACAGTCAGCTTAGCGTAGACCGAAACCACTAGCTCCGCTACCAATGTGAGTTCGGATGCGGCGTTCTTTGTTTTGCTGCATAAGCCGATGCCAAAGGCTGACAGGTGCACCTGCGATGGGAAGCAACTGGCGATAGTAAAGAGGGGCGTGGTAAAGAGCAGAGACATGTACGGCTCCCATCGCTACCGAAATTCACACTCATGAGCATGCACGGCATCCCGGACGCCATCCACGTGTATCGCAGAATGGTTTGGCAGTGGGCAGCACGTGTAGCGACCCACCCACCGCACAGGTGGACACTGCGAGTTCTAAAATAGAGTCCCAACACGGATTCAAAGCAACGGGGTTATCGACAACACGGCGACCAGCACAAACGATGGGACGACGATATTCGGAAGTTTTAACACAATGTGTATCGACATGAAGAGATTACGCAGAGCGACGCCAACGACGCCACCCAGCCACGACGATACCTACGCCGCGACATCAACGACGTGAGATGGCTCACAGCTGCGGCGCGGACGACATGGTGGAACTCACTCGAAGGAGCCTTCGTGGCTGCATGATTCGTGGCTCTTTCCGACTTCCGACTCCAGCTCCCATCTCTCTCTTTACAATTCTGGCTCCAACTCGCATTTTTGATGGGGCTCCCATCTTCCCGACTCCGGCTCCGACTCCAACTCCCGAATTTCCGACTCTCCCATCCCAGTCCGACTCCAGCTTCCATCCTATCTCATCTCTCCGACTCCGGCTACGCTCCTGGACCCCATCTCTCCGACTCCGGCTCCGACTCCAGCTTCCGCATTTGCGACTGCCATGTGACCATACGAGTGCGAAGCATCAACGACGGCATCACTATCCAACGGCATCACTATCCACGACACGCACACACAACGACTCCGACATCAACGATGCCTCTCCCTCCTCCCTCCCTCCCCTCCGACGCACCTAATCTTTTTTATGTCTCGAATGCATGCTTTACCATACACCACAGTATCTTGGCGCCGCGGCTCCACCGCTCCATACCCAGAGGGACCGCACCCCGGCGCGCACGCGAGCGTCCGTCCGTCCGTCCGTCCCCGGCCCCTCTAGATGCTCACCAAACCAATGCCTCTTCGCGAGTTAATCGCTACTTAGCGACCGTCAAGAGGTCCGTCTGAACCCAGCCTGACCCGCTCGCGCTTCCGCTCGTCTTTTACAATCCGCTCCAGCGTGGCAGCGATGCAGGGGCTCTACAAAGCGAGTTGGCCGGCATGCCCCACGACGTAAACACGCAGGGGTCTAACATCCTTCCCCGGGGCGGACTCTTCACCCCGAGCTGCTGTTGCGCGGTGCTGGGGCCTGGCGAATCCCCCCGGAGTCCGAAAGCAGTCAGGAGCCGCTTGTCGCGATTTGGTCGCAGCGAGGGGGAGGAGGTCTGGGTTTGCACGAGCCAGAGCTCACACAGTGGCCTGGAGCACAGCGTGAGGCCAACATCACCAGCTCTGTGCACACAGCGAGTCGAAATCCTGCACTCCCGCCGCTGCCCTTACCCCTCCCCGCCACGAGGGCGACCAGGAGAGATAGGCAAGAAGAGGAGGAAGAGGAGGAAGAGGAGACGAAGAAGGCGATTTCCCGTGGAAACGGGACCCGTCGCTCATCCACACCCCCTTGATCCATGTTTGCGATCGCCTGACTCACTCAGCGGGCGGGCCTTCTCGGAAAGCTCAGGAGGCCTCTCCGAAGCCCTGCCGCTTTCTGAGAAACCCCGCACCCCCCCCCCCACCCTCTCCCCCCCCGGCGCGCTGCCGACTCCGCCTCCTCCTCCTCCTCCTCCTCCTCCTCCTCCTAATCTTGCTCCTCCTCCTCCTCCTCTTCCTCCTCCTCCTCTCCTCCTCCTCCTTCTCCTCCTCCTCCTCCTCCTGCTCCTCCTCCCTCTTCCTCCTCCTCCTCCCCTCCTCCTCCTCCTCCTCCTCCTCCTCCTCCTCCTCCTCATGCTCCTCCTCGTCCTCCTGCTCCTCCTCCTGCTCCTCCTCCTCCTCCTCCTCCTCCTCCTCCTCCGGCCAGGCGTCGGTATCTGGGGGACGTGCGCCGCCCCTTCACGCAACCTCTCGTCACTTTTAGCGGGGTGCAATTCCCGGAGCCGTGCCCGATCGTCTACCCGACTGTGACCGAAACTGGCGCCTGAAGTTGTCTGACCGCGCCCGAGGGTGACTGAAAATGGGCTGGTGCAAAACAAGCACGGTTTTCAGATTTGGTCACAAGTTCGGTCACACTACGTTTTCGGTCGCAATTTCAAACGCGCGTTCGGACGCATGTGTTTCGCTCACACGCCACTTTGGCTGATAGGGGCCCAGCACCATGACACCCTTCTGCCCCTCTAGGGGGAACAGGACACGGCATAAACATTACTTCTCGGAGGTCCGCGCGGATGTCTTGAATCGGCGCTGGAGGCAGCGCCAGCAGGGCAGAGTGCCGTTCCAAGAAATCTGCGCGGACCTCCGAGAAATCATGCTCATGCTGTTTTTGTTTTGTACTCGAACCTCTGCCACTCCCACCATCGTGCACCCCTTCCGCCCTTCCCTGCTCCGCTGGCCCCAAGGAAGGGGCGGCGGCGGTCTTGAAGCAGGGCCCACCTTTGCCGTCGGGACTCGGCCTCGGGCGCCGGCGCGTGCTGGCGGGACCGAAGCACACGACGAGAGAGGGGGCGAGGGACTGAGGGGCAACGTCAAGGGGGGGAGCGGCTCGGGGGGTACGCCCTTGCCCACTTCTTCCAGGATCCGTAGTCCCGAAAAGCGTCGGTTCCAGTCCCGGCGAACCTCCTGATCGCACCGCCGGGCCCTCCACTGTCCGTGTTCATCTTCACCGTCTGGCGTCCCGCCGGCACTCACCTGAGTGCCTCCCAGTGCAACAGCGCCTGCTATCGCGCGGCACGCCCCGCACTACCAACGCAGATTGGGCTTCGAGGAGGGAGCGCCCGCACCCTCTTTTCCACACCTGTGGCAAGCCAAAATGCTGCAGCATCGACACGCACATTCAACACGCATGTGAGAAGTACACACGTGCACTAACACGCACTGGGCCCGACAGGCCCTGAGATCAGCAGAATGGCTAACAACCCCCCAAGCAACTGCCACCTCCCGGGTGAAACACTGCGGTGCGAAGGCCAGTCACACCGTCACGTTTAAAACCACGACCGACTGTCGCGGACGAGCAGCTGCAAAACAATGGAAACACAAGAGGGGGAGAACGGTCCCGGGGCCTGGCGAAGGTCCCCGCAGGCCCAAAACGGAAACGGCGAAAAAACCTCCGCCAGTCTAACTTTTCACTCTACATTTTGGAGGTCTGGGCAGGCCCCGTCGGAAAGTCAACACGCCCCCCTGCTATGGTGGGCTTGATATTTCCACCGGCCACCACCATCAGTAGGAGGGGGAGGGGGTCCTTCTCCTCCTCTTTTCCTCCTCCTCCTCCTCCTCTTCCTCCTCCTCATCCACCTCCTTCCCCTCTCCATCTTATTTTGGAATGGGTGGAAAACAGGCCCATCATGCTCAACACCCCATCCAGAGTGCCAATATTGGCCGTAAAGACTCCACGTCGTCGGACTCATGTCGGGGGCGGCCAAGAGGGAGGCGTCCAAGAGGAGGGGGCGCAAATCATGGCCGGCGGCATGTGCGCGGCCTGGGGGGGGGCCAGGAACGTAATGAAATAAGAAGAGGCGCCATGAAATCTGAGGAAACATCATCGCCCACGCCATAATATCGCCCCCCCTATAATCATTACCCCCCCCCTTTGCCGCTCCCGAGCATGGGGCGGTCGCCCCGCCGGCCGGTGCCGGCATGAGGGATATCCCGGGCGCCCCGGCCTCGGGCAGAGGACGAGCCGGAAGCTAGCCTGCGGCCGCGCGCCCGCCGCGCCCGCGAGGCAGGCGAGGCAGGCGAGGCCCAAGGGGAGGAGGAGGAGGAGGAGGAGGAGGAGGAGGAGGAGGAGGAGGAGGAGGAGAAGAGAAGAGAAGGAGGAGGAGGAGGAGGAGGAGGAGGGAGGAGGAGGAGGAAGAGGCGGGGGGGAGGACGAGGAGGAGGGGCCGCTTTCGGCTTCGGCCCGTTTCGGCTTCGGCCCGTCTCGGCTCCGTTTCGGTCTGCTTCGGCCTCGGCCCGCTTCGGTTCTGAGCCTGCTTCGACCCTGGCCCGAGCCGTAACGGGCCGAGCTGAAACGCGCTGAAGCCTGCACGGGCCGAGGCCGAAACGGGCCTGAAGTTATGTTGTCCCATCCTACTTCAGCCTTGATCACTGGAGGGAATTGCGAGCACCAAGGCAATACCCAAACTGGACGGTTTTCATGTGTCGGGCCCCAGGAGGCGATACTCGTTCGGCACTGTTTCGTTACTTTTCTGGGTGCTCGAACTTACTTCTGGGATTTGGTTCCGCTCAGTACGATGGGAGCAACATACACCTGAAGCAGAAACGGGCCCAGGACAAGACAGCATCGGACGGGCAAGTCAGAGCGGGTCAACACGTGCATCGCGTCGGGCCACGTCGGCACGGAATCAAGAGATCGCATCGGCTCGGCTGCGCCCAGACGCGCACCAGCGCCATGCCAGCCTCGGGCCGCAGCGGAGTCGAATCGGAGATCGAGCGGATCGGAATGAGCCACAGCGGGGGGAAGGGGGCGACCACCTGGGGAGGCTCGCGACCTCCCCGAGGACCCGAGCCCCCCCCCCAAGACACTGCAGAGCTCCCAGAAGCAACCCCGAAAGCGCAAACAAACTCCATTTCCTCCTCCTCCTCCTTGTCGCCTTCCTCGAGCTTCGATCCTGGAACCTCGAGCCTCAGGAGGAGCTGGCGGCCCCCTCGTCGCAACCTCCTCGGCTCCGGCTGGTGGCCCCCAGTCGTAACCCCCTCGGCACTGCCCCGCAGACTTAGGTCGGGCGTGTCCTCCTACAGGCGAATGCTAGGCGAAAGATCAAACAAATACTCAGCAATACCCAAAGATGCTCAAAATAAGTCCAGATATCGTCCCAACCATTTTTGTTTTAACTATTTTTGAATTTTCGGTGGGCGAGGGCAGGAGTTGGCGGCGCGCCCAGGGCGGAAGACAGCGGGGGGGCCGGCGCTCTCCGAAGGCGACTGGGCTTCTCGGAAGCCCTCGCGTCTGATCTCAGACGACGCGAGGGCCTCTGAGAAGCCCCGCCGCCTTCTGCGCAGGCCAGCCCCGTCTGCCGTTCCCCCCCGACCCCCACCCCAGCGCGCGGCCGAGGGAGGGCCCCCGGACATCTGGCGATCTCGCCAAGCTCAAGACGGAAACCTCTCGTCGTTTTCGGCCCAAATGGAGGGCCGGGAACCGTCAAACAGGACGGCCCGGGACGCAAGGCCAGCAGTGGAAAACGGGTCGGGGCTTCCTGGGGACCCGCGTTGAATAGATCTGGGGGTAGGAGCAGCAAGCAGAGGAAAAGGCAGAGCAGGAGGAGGAGGGATGGGGGATCAGGGGTGGAAGACGGATGCGGGAGAAGGGAGGGATGAGGGAGAGGGAGAGGGAGAGTGAGAGAAGATACGAAACGAGAAGATAATATAATAGAAGATTAGAGACGATAAGAAAAGGAGGAGGAGAAGACGAAGACTACGATACATAAGAAAACTGAAGAAGCGGACTACTATCACGATGGACCATGTCAGTAACAATCACAATCATATTGCTATAATGAATGCTGAAACTGACCAAATCGTATTATTATAGAACTGGAACGTACGACTATTAAGACTAGCACCTGTGATAATGGGGACAACATCAATACTATCATAACACTTTAAATCATAAACACATGGTGATATGAAGAAAACGGATCCGACGAGGAAAACGGAGAAGGACTGCACAATCAACATGATGAAGATCGCGAGAAAGTATAACCTAGCTGGGGCATCGCCTGGCTGCCAGTCCGCGCGGCCTGAGAGGAAAAGGAGGACCGAGAAGCATGAACGGACCAAACCGAAGCGAGAACCGATAACCGTGACCGGACCCGACCGAACGGGCCCCAAACAAATCAAGAACCGAACCGGACCGAACCGAATTCATTCTGAACCGAACCAAGGGGAACCGAACCGAACCAAAACCGGAACCGAACCGCAACGGGGCGGCCCCCGAACCCAACCGACGAGAACCGAACAGGACGTAGTACCAACCAACCCAGCCCGCACAAGGCCGCAGGCAACGACCCCCCGTGCCCCAACCACCAAACCCCCAGGACACCTCATCGGACATGTTGACGTCGTCGTTGGCCCCAGACAGCTCCAAGATGCATGGCCCACGAGGTCGCCCGGACCCCCCCCAGTCCGGACCCCCCCGTCCCCGGTCCGGACCTCCCCTGGTCCCAATCTAGACCCCCCCCCCCGGTCCGGACCCCCATCGGTCCGGACCCCCGTCTGGCCCCCCCTGGCCCCGACCCCCCCCGTCCAAACATCCCGCCGTCCGGACCCCCCCCCGGTCCGGACCTCCCCCCGTCCGGACCCCCTCCGGCCCGGACATCCCCAGGTCCGGTCTGGACCCCCCCAGCCCCGACCCCCCCCGGTCCAAACCCCCCCGGTCCGGACCCTCTCCGGGTCTGGACGGGCCCCTCCAGGTCCGGACCTCTCCTGGTCCAGACCCGCCCCGGTCCGAACCCCCCCGGTCCGGACCGCCCCCCAGTCCGGATCCCCCCAGCCCGGACCCCCCGTGCGGACCCCCGGTGCCACCCCGCGGCCGGGACCCTTGGTGCGGACCCGACTCCTCCCCCCGGCCCGGACCCCCCCGGCCCACTGTAGTGAACTTGGGGTTTGCGTTGGGTTGCAAGGTGCTTGTCAGTTAGTTGTAAGGCAGTAGTGAAGTACGTGCAACATAGCTGCAAGTCGCTTTAGCGTTTGTAAGTTGCGTTATCTAACATAACTACCTTAGCAAGTCGCATAATATTTGTATCAATTGGCACGCACTTGTCTCGACTTAGCCCGAGTTGCAAATTCACGCCGCGACCTACGTTGATGGTTGAAGTCGGATCTCTTGCATGGCAAAGTCAGAATGCCACATGGTATTTTTGTATGCGGATGCCGTCCGCATTGCATGATTCTGATGTCCTCAAGTTGCCCACTTGGCTTTTCCAGTGTGCATTGCTCAATTGCGTGAAGACGCATCCGTCGCTGGATTGCGTGCCAGGTGGCAATTGAACGCCCGACGGGCGACGCCGCGATCGAATTTGGCCATCGTATGAAAGAATTGCTATCACTAGAATCGGTCACAATCCAATTTCGATGCATCGTGTGTATATATATATATACATACATATCTATCTATATATATGCACTATGTTCAACGCGTTCCACGACGATTACACGTCCAGCATCATATTTCAAACAAAGCGTTGTTGTCTTGATGTTGGCGTGTCAGGCTCGAACTGCTTTTGTCGTTCGCAGCTACTGCATTTTCTGCGCGGAATGCAGAAATTCTACCCACAAGAGCTGGTGGATTTCATCAACGGGCGCATTGATGTGTATCGCGGCGGCAAGCTTGCTCCGATCAAAGCTTGGAAGGATTGCGTCGACCACCTTTTGAATGATAAGGTCGCCACGCGGATCGTCGCTCAGGCGGATGATTTCGTCATCCACCCCTCGAACCGTTCTGGCCACGGTGCGAAGACATGCAACGCCCACAGGGTTGGCGCCATGCTCAAGCAGATCGGCGTTGACCCTGCTGAGCTCAAGAAGGCGGTTGCCTTCGAGCGCGTGCCCACGGGTCCGAGGAAGTCGTCAAGTCGTCCGAGGTCGCTTTCAACCAGAAGCTGATTTCGTCCAGTAAGGGTATGTTGGCGCCGATGACGGGCGCGGAGAGGTTCTGCTCGGTGGGGGCGGGCCACGCCACGCAGTTGTTCAAGGCAATGAAGGCGGCTTGCCCCACTCCTGAGCCGACCCTCGCCGTCTTGCCGTGGCAGGCAGACGCTGCGTGGCCGCGCCTTCCAGATTTGGCACGGCGCGCCCTCCAAGCGAGCAACGACGTTGCCAATTCGATGTCGGAGCTCGAAGTTTGCGTGCGCATTGCGGAATTTACAGAACTGATGCCTGCAGGATCGCCTTTTGATGCCTGCGTTGATGCAGTGAAGATGAAACAGCCTTCATGCCAGACAGGCGGCAGAAATGCACCCCTTGCAAATGCGCGCGGCGCAGGCAGGCGCGGTCACGCCATGCGGCAAAGCAGCAACGCTACGACTCTCTGTGCTTTTCAAACATAAATCTGCCGTTGGCCGCGCGCGCCGGCGCCGTGCATAGTTTGCAGGGGGCGGATTTCCCCTGGGAGAAATACATTGATAAGATCGGCAAGCTCGCAACGCGCTGCGGCGGGGGATCTGGCGTCCCGCTGGTTAAATTCATGGACCGTTTTGGCAAATTGCATGGCGCCAACAACAGGCTCGGATGGGATTTCGCTACGTCTGTTGCCGGCGTCCAGCTCGGCGATCTGATCCCGGGCCGTGCGTCTTCCTGCGCGCTGCGGGCACAATTGCCAACCTGGCCCCCGCTAAGCAATCTGACGGCGTGGCGAAGCTACTGGTTCCCAGCGGCATTGAGAGGTTGAATTAGCCTGGCGAAGGACTCAACCATATGCAGCTGTGAGTACCGCAATAGTGAACATCTTCTTCGGCGCGGCGCCGCCATGCCAACGCAGCCACTGGGAGCTTCGGTGGAGCTCCCTATGGGGCCACGAAGCGTGTGCCGAAATGGGTGCGGCGCCGCCATGCGAGCGCAGCCACTGGGGCCTTCGGTGGAGCTCCCTATGGGGCCACGAAGCGTGAAAGGGGTGTGCCAAATTGGGTGCGGCGCCGCCATGCCAACGCAGCCACTGGGGTTTTCGGTGGAACTCCCTATGGGGCCACGAAGCGTGTGAGGGGTGTGCCAAATTGAGTGCGGCGCCGCCATGCGAACGCAGCCAGTGGTGCCTTCGGTGGAGTTCCCTATGGGGCCACGAAGCGTGTGAGGGGTGTGCCAAATTGGGCGCGGCGCCGCCATGCGAACGCAGCCGCTGGGGCCTTCGGTGGAGCTCCCTATGGGGCCACGAAACGTGTGAGGGGTGTGCCAGAATTGGGGGCGGCGCCGCCATGCGAACGCAGCCGTTGGGGCTTTCGGTGGAGCTCCCTATGGGGCCACGAAGCGTGCGAGGGGTGTGCCAAATTGGGCGCGGCGCCGCCATGCGAACGCAGCCACTGGGGCCTTCGGTGGAGCTCCCTATGGGGCCACGAAGCGTATGAGGGGTGTGCCAGAATGGGGGGTGGAACCGCATGCGAGCGCAGCCACTGGTGCCTTTGGTGGAGCTCCCTATGGGGCCACGAAGCGTGTGAGGGGTGTGCCAGAATGGGTGGTGGAACCGCATGCGAGCGCAGCCACTGGGGCCGTCGGTGGAGCTCCCTATGGGGCCACGAAGCGTGTGAGGGGTGTGCCAGAATGGGGGGTGGAACCGCATGCGGGCGCAGCCACTGGGGCCTTCGGTGGAGCTCCCTATGGGGCCACGAAACGTGTGAGGGGTGTGTGCCGAAATGGGGGGTGGAACCGCATGCGGGCGCAGCCACTGGGGCCTTCGGTGGAGCTCCCTATGGGGCCACGAAACGTGTGAGGGGTGTGCCAGAATTTTTGGGGGGGGGGGGAACCGCATGCGAACGCAGCCACTGGGGCCTTCGGTGGAGCTCCCTATGGGGCCACGAAGCGTGTGAGGGGTGTGCCAGAATGGGGGGGTGGAACCGCGTGCGGACGCAGCCACTGGGGCCTTCGGTGGAGCTCCATATGGGGCCACGGAACGTGTGAAGGGTGTGCCAGAATGGGGGGTGGAACCGCATGCGGACGCAGCCACTGGAACCTTCGGTGGAGCTCCTTATGGGGCCACGAAGCGTGTTATGGGGCAACGAAACGTGTGAGGGGTGTGCTAGAATGGGTGGTGGAACCGCATGCGGACGCAGCCACGGGTGCCTTCTGTGGAGCTCCGTATGGGGCCACGAAGCGTGTGAAGGGTGTGCCAGAATGGAGGGTGGAACCGCATGCGGACGCAGCCACTGGGGCCTTCGGTGGAGCTCCTTATGGGGCCACGAAACGTGTGAGGGGTGTGCCAGAATGGGAGGTGGAACCGCATGCGGACGCAGCCACTGGGGCCTCCGGTGCAGCTCCTTATGAGGCCACGAAACGTGTGAGGGGTGTGCCAG